ATCAGATGACCTTTGCCCTGGGAGTAAAACTCAAAGAAAAAAACAACTGCCCAGTACTTGTGAAACTTTCTCAATAAAAGGAGCTGCAGTCCTCATACACTTTGGGACTTAGGTGAGCCAGCTCTGCGAAGCTGTTGGTCTCTCTGCTCCCCCTCGCAGCGAGTAAAACGTACAACGTTGTCAGATGTTCTTTTCAGGTCATTCTATCTGCAGCAGTTAGATGACAATAGTGGTGACTGAATAACGTAATTTTTGGCACCAAAAGGTTGTGTAACCATGACACAAAAGTGTGTCCTTTGTCTTCAAGATGTAGATGAACAGCTGAGTCCTGCCCTGAGGAGCTGGCTCTTCCGTGTTGTTGCATATGCTTGTACAGTGGTTGTTTGGTTTCCCCAATGCTTATGCAAGGCTAGATAGTCAGATAACGGATAGAATCCTTCAAAAACCCACAAGGCTTGACTTTTCTTGTTCTTTAATGGAGTCTTCTATTTTCCAACTCAATCTGTAAAACTGAAAATTATAGATAGAAACACAATTTACTTAAACACTGTACAAGCAAGGCATTGCATAAGTACTTTTCAATTAGCATCCATCAATTAACAAAATTAAAAGAGTTAGCATTTGTTGAAAACTAGCAGAGTATATTGTCAGAAAACTTAATACTTACAGATAAATATATAAAGCGTCAAAAAACTCCAACAATGTTATCTCAGTAGTCTGTTTAGCTTACATGTGCTCGCCTGAGCATGCAACAGAAAAAAAAACAGCATAGCTGGAACTAACGAAAAGAGCACTGACTCTGACACGGTTTTTCACAACCAAAGAATATAGACTTTTTAAACCTGCTCGATGATTAATGTATGAACTTTAGCTTAACATTTTAACCCTTAAAGGCAGAACAGTCCCCGCTTGATGTAATTACATTATATCACTCCAGATATACACACATTTAAAGGGGAATGCCTTCTAGAAACAATACACATTAAGTCTCTAAAAGAAGGACTAGATCTCTGAGACCGGCCTTAAGAACACCTTAGCTGTTCCATCCTTCACAATCTGCACCTCTACTTTGCGGACTCTGTTGTCGCTGCTTGGCAAAGTCTTAACAACTAGTCCCATTGGCCATTCATTTCTGTGGGCCTGGCTGTCTTTTAGTAAGACATCTCTTTCTTTGACATTTGGCTTGTCTTTTGTCCACTTCCTGCAGCTCTGTAGCGTAGACAGATACTCTCCCTTCCATCTCTTCCAAAACGTGTCAGCAAGACACTGGACCTGTTTCCATTGCTTCCCATACAACTGTGCCGTACCAAAGTTTCTACAGGGGGCTGAAACTGCACTCATCTTTTGAGTAAGGAGCATTGCATTCATGATGGCCATGACTTCTGCCATGAAAGTGCTTAGGACTTCATGTGTGAGACGTGTTGGTCCTGCCTGAAGCAACATTGCATCCAGGATGTGCCTGGCAACTCCGATGAGCCTTTCCCAGGAGCCACCCATGTGGGAAGCATGAGGGGGATTAAACATCCAGGAGCCTTCCTCCTTCCTAACTGTTGTGTCGTCTGTGTTTATATACAATTCCTTGCAAGCCCCCACAAAATTGGTCCCTCTGTCAGACCACAGAAGTTTGGCTGGACCACGAGTCGCAAAAAACCTCCGGAGAGCGTTGATAAAGCTGTCTGTTGACATGGTTTCAATCAGCTCAATATGCACTGCTCTGGTTGACATGCACGTAAACAACACAGCCCAGCGTTTGCAGTCTACATATTCTCCTCTAGTCCGACATGTCATAATGGACCATGGCCCAAAGACATCAAGGCCGACAGTAGTGAATGGAGGCTCAGGCGTAAGTCGGTCAGCAGGTAGATCAGCCATCTTCTGTTCCTCCAACCTCCCTCACAGTCTGCGGCAGGTAACACACTTGTGAATGACAGAAGACACCAGATGCTTGCTTCCACTTATCCAGTATCCAGCTGATCTGATAGCTCCTTCTGTAATGTGTCGCCCTTGGTGAGCTACTTGTTCATGAAAGTGTCTCACAAGCAGTGTGGCAATGTGATCAGTGTTTGGAATGATCAGTGGGTGTCTTTCTTCTTTTGACAGGTCGGCACAAGAAAGACGACATCCGACACGAACCAGACCATCTTCATCCACAATTGGATTTAGCTTTTTGAGTGTGCTCTGCTTGGGCAAGGTCTGTTTGCCTTCAAGACATTTGAATTCTTTCTTAAAGAAGCTATACTGCACAGAGCGGATGATCACAGCTTTGGCTTTTGAAAGCTCACTTATGCTGGATGCTTCTCCAAAATCTTTTCTTTAAGTCTTGTCTGACTTTTCTTTGAACGATGCCGCAGCACGAATGAGTCAGGCTATAGTGTGATTGAGTGTTCTCCAGCTTGAGCATCGCTCGAAGTGTTGGGAGCCCATCTGAAACTCTGGTGCCTTGGTTGCCAGAATAGTAGCCTCCGGACGAATCTCATTATCAGCTTCAGGCTCAATCAGGGCGATTGAGCCTGAAGATACGGACATCTCCGCTGCTTCGTTGTGGTAGAGAAAAGCTGATCCTGACAACCAGCTGCTGTGTTGTAGTTGGCATGCTGGCATAAACCTGGTTGCATAATCAGCAGGATTCAGATCTGTTGGCACATAGTGCCACTGGTTGGGGTGTGTAGATCGCCTGATCCGAGTTACCCGGTTGGAGACATAGAGGTAAAACCTTCTTGTAGAGTTATGAATATAGCCAAGAACGTGAAGAACCTTACAGTGTTCATCTCATCACTGATCGGTTCGTATAGCTCAACAGCCAGCACAGCTGTGCAGAGCTCCAGGCGCGGAATGGTGTGAGCAGGGCGAGGAGCCAATTTTGACTTCCCCATGACAAATCCAACATGATATTGTCCCTCTGTGTCTGCAGCTCTCAGGTAGGCCACCGCTCCTATAGCTACTGTGGAAGCATCTGAGAAGATACACAGTTCTTTCGTCTGTGTTGACGACAGCAAAACCGGTATGTAGCACCTCTTTATATGCCTATATGTCTTCCAGGGCCTTCAAAGAGTCTCTCCATGAGTTCCATTCTGCCTCCTTTTGCGGAAGGAGAGGAGCATCCCACTCACTGTTTTCAGATGACAGTTCCCGGAGAAGTGCTTTCCCTTGCATTGTTATAGGAGTTACAAAGCCCAAGGGGTCGAACAAACTGTTGACTGTTAACACACCTCGTCGAGTGTATGACCTTTCTTCGCAGGATACCAGGTAAGTAAAGCTGTCTGTTTCTAAATTCCAGGACAGGCCCAGACTCCTCTGAAGAGGGATCTTCCATCAGATCCTTGGAACGGTCCTCCACTTGAAACGCTTCCATCAGCTGTCTACTGTTTGATGCCAATTTGTGCAGTCACAGGTTGGATTTCGCCAACATTTCTCTGGTTTGTGTGAGAAGGTCTATTGCCTCTTTAGGCATGGCGTGAGTAGAGTGAAGGGTTCTTTCCAAAAACATGGACCTTCATCTTGTACTCGGTCACATCCTTGGTGATGTCATTATCCTCATACCAGAAGTACCGAAGATAATCCCTGTCTTCTTCTTGGACAACAAAGCAATAAAACATTTGCTCCACGTCTGCTGTAAAGGTTCTTTACGGAAATGCAAGAGAACTCCCAGCAGAGTGTTATTCAAATCTGGTCCACTAAGGAGGACATCACTGATTGAGGTTGCATCACATTCAGCGCTTGAGTCAAAAACAACACGTATCTGGTTGGGTTTTTGTCCTTTCAAGGGCTCAAACTCCCATAATTCCACTGCTTCCGGTAAATCCACATACGTCACGATCAGTAACCTCCGCAACCTTTAAATTGGGGGGTCAGCCCAATATCGTTCTCTCTGTTCAGGACTTTCGCTCCGTAGGACCCTGATGATAAGAGAAACCTGCTCGTCTCAGAAGACTAAGAACCAACGCGCTTTTGTAGACACCATTGCCCACGGTGATAAATGCACTAGTAGCGTCTTTTTCTTAACTGAGTTAACCGGTAATTAAGTTACACAAGTAACGTAGCGCTGCGACCAAAGCAGTTATTGAAAAGTTTAGAAGCGACAGGATTCCTTCTAACGGTATTCGTGTGAACCGGCACATCGACAGTCAGAGACTTTTCCTCCCGAAACGGACTTTCGGAACCAAGAGGACTCTCTGGACACAGTGGAACCAGACGGACGTCCCCAGCTCTGGCAAGGACCCAAGAAGTGCGGACTTTCCACTACCCTCTCAATACGAGCAGACGTTCACTACAGTAAGGCTGGCATTTGGGCACGTTAGTTAACCTGTAGTATTGTTAAGTGCTATTTAAACTGAGGAACAGTTTAAGTACGCATATTGAATTTTGTTGTCTGAAATCTGTGCTGCTTTTATAGCTAGGCTGTTGCATGCACTTCTTTTCTAACCTCCTGACTCGGTGTTATACTCTTGTACACCGTCAGTATTTCAGTGTTAACTTGGAACGTTATCAGTATTGGGATCAGGAAAACTCCGACAAAGTCCTTTGTCTGGAGTAGACCACGCGGTACGCCTCCCTTCCCCCATATACTTTGATAACATCACAAGCACTGTTTCATTGTACCTGAGCGCATCTTGGTGCGCGTACACAACACCCATTCACACCTCCGTGAGCGCATACACGCCTCACGTGTTTCCTGTTGCCGTTCCTTCTACCTCGCAGTTCTTCTTCCACTGCGCAGTCGCGTATGTGAACACGCCTCAAGGGCTCAGTCGCTTGCTTGGTAGCTGAGAGGCAACATCTCTCTCTCTCTTTCTCTCTCGTACACGACCGCTCGTGTACACACGCACATAAGTACACACACACCCCTACACACACGCCTTGTTTTGTTATAATGATCATTGTTTATGAGTTCAATCACCGTCATTAACTTGACAGTGTTGTATAAATAAATTTGATTATTTTTGTAAACTGTGTTTGTCTGTGTTGTTACTTTATTCATTGAAGCCACCCAATTTGCCAAGAACTCTCAAAATCCTTCAGATATTTAATTGTTATTGGATACTATTGATTTTAGTATATTTGTAATACTTCAAGTAATACATTATTGCTATATTAGTAGGTTAAAATAATAATTAAAGATAACTTTAATGAGACTGGTTGTGTTATTAATTTGAGACTGGTTGATAACACCGAGTGCTCCTAAGCAGCACTCGACCCATTGCACCTACATCATTGTCCAACATCTTCTGCATAAACTTAATATAATGTTCTCTCATTTCTGGCTTTTTCTCCAGGGTTCTCCGAAGTGAACAGAGAGGCTTTAAAGCTTGCTCCCCGTTGCTTGGCAGGCGCTGCCTAGGAGCCCGGAATTGTAAAGAAGCCACCCAGCTATTTTCTTCATTTTGGTAGACTTCTGCATCCATAATAGCTAGGAAGGCTTTATCATCCATGGACAGTGCTAGTTTGTTGTCATCCTTGGACCTGTCAAACACAGAGCACCCTAGGTTGTCTGTACTCACATAGAGACGTGTTCGCTGCACATGCAGGGAAGGCTGCACTATTTGGACACGGTCTGAGGAAGGATGCGTGGCTATTGTTCAGGACGTTTGCCTTGAAAACATTTGCCTCTGATGGTTTGTGAACTGTGCCCAAGCACACATCTCCCACAATGACCTAGCCTAGGTCTAGGCATAAGGCACGTTGTGTGGCCCGTTTATTTGCTCACGTACCTTGTGCACCCTTAGGATGTCTCTCCCTGAGAGCAGGAGGATTGGTGCATCTTGATCCACAGGTAGGATTTTACTAGCAACTGACCATAGGTGGGGGTGATAGTGTGCAACCTCTGGGGAGGGGATTTCTGTCCTATCGTCTGGCAAGGCAATAGGACAGAAATCCTATTTCATTGCATGTATTCTAACCCTAACTCCACACAGCTACCAAGAACACACACACACGCACACACAAGGAAAACTTAAATGGAATAAAATATTGTAGCAACCTCAGGTATTAAATGTTAATGACAATGTAATCTATCTTTTTATCTATCTATCTATTAGCTAGCTAGCTAGAAAATTAGATACAGTGGATAGATGGATGGACGGACAGACAGACAGATAGACAGACAATCAGCTGATGTATAGCACTTTGGCTCAGCTCAGGTTGTTTTGAAATGTGAAATGTACATTATCCTGCCTTAACTTGACTATCAAGACGGGAAAGCGTTGAGCTGACCGTTTATGGTCGTGAAACAACTGAGTCCTGCTACAATTTTTTCCAGTGACTTTTTCTTCACACTGTTAGGGAGGTTAGATTTATTGCCACAGAAGCAGATGCATCAAAGTAGCACTAAGCTCAGCCAAAGTTCTATACATCAGCACTGACATTGTGGCAGGCACTGCAAGGGATGCCTTTCACCCTACAGGACTGTGGGCTGGGGCGTGGTTTACGGTGCCTATGTTTTGGCGCGCTGAGTTGTTGAAGTTCAGTTGTTCTGCGCTTTTGGAATAAAGAGTAAACTCACTCCCGTCTCCTGCGCTTTCTTCGCCCTGCTACA